AATTGAACAAAGTTAAGGGAGCTCTGGTGACCTAGTCTGTGCAGATTTAGGTTACTAACCTAAGGTATAACTTCTCTCATGGTTTGAAACTAGCGTTTGCATAGCAGAAAGATAAACAGTCTCTTTCTCTGTTATTTTGGGAAACCTGCAGGAGGATCAGGAATTGGTTATTTCCTACCTGAAAGGTATGCTTTTTTGTGTGTCCATAGGAAAGTACACTGTAAACACAAAGGCCACATCTCTCTGTTGCTTCAAATCCCTCAGACACTTTCCTGGGTAATCTCTTCTTGTCCAATTTATAGTTTCAGAAACCTCAGTGGAAGGTCAGCAATGAGTTAGTTCCAACTTGAAGATGATATATTTGAGTTTTTGTTGCTATACTTCTTTTACTCAGATCCTTAGTAAAGATATGCTAAGGAAAGTGGAGGGTCAGAGAGAGGACAGCCACCACAGATAGATTGACACAGTGATAATAATAGTCAACTCAAGAAAATGGAAAATTAGGATGATGGTGCAGGCCAGAGCAAGCCTTAAGTATGTTGTTCACAGAATTGTTATGAGTTGGGGTCAACTCAGAGGTTCAAAACAGCAACAAAAGCCCTTATTTGCATTTCTTAATCCTGTTTTCTTTCTCTTACATCAGTATTTCTAAAGAGAAATTGAAATTAGAAGGTGTGTACAATATCATATCAGTAGCAGTTAGGTTTATCAAAAATTCACTGCAATCTTTCATTTAGTGTTAAGGGTTTATTATTTAAAATGTCTTTTCCATGCATTGACTTTGACATTACCATGTAAATGGGAGGGGATATTTGAATAAGGTGTGTTACCAGTCCACAGTGGGATCAGTTAGTCTCATTACTAAATTGAGTAAATTCAGAGGAAGATTTGATGACTCTCATCACCAGCAAAGAGGGAGCAAGAGAAAACAGGACACCTGTTGATGCCAGAGATTCTTGCACTAGTCAGACCTCCCGGAGTGCAGTAGCAAAAGCAGCTGAGGTAAAGAACCAGAAACTTGACAGGAGATGGAGGTGACCTTGGAAATTCTGCAGAACCAGAACTAAGAGCCTCTGTCCAAGATTTTTGGGTAACTGGGGTGGGGGAGCCATAACTGGCTGGGCTAAGAGCTTTCTAACACTGGCCTAAAATTGCAAGGCTCCTTTGTGGAGTTAGTAGTGGTCAGATATGGCCGTTCCCACATTGCTTTTGCTCCTTTTACACTTTAGCTCCAAATTCTTGCCACATTCTTTGTTCTTCATGTCTTTTTGAAATTGTGCTGACAATGAAGGCATAACAAATTATAGCCATTCCCTATATAGAAAAGCAATGTCAGAAATAGAGGTAAACAGAAAATACATTTCAAGTAACTAAGTGCTAATATGCTTGTTTACATTAATATTATAATATTTAGAAATTATTCACTTACTAGACTTAAAATTCAATAAGCCCTTTACAAAGTGAGGGGAAATTGCACACTCAAACATTTACCTTTGGATTGCAAACGTAATTGTTATGAGCATTCTTTATGGAAAATGAAGCAACATTAGGACTACTAAATGTGGTTTTATCTAGAAAACAATTTGTAAACCTAGTACTCTTTCAACTTAAAAAAACACACTTCACAAATGAAATATTTCTCTTTTTCTCTTTTTAAAAAATTGTTATTTTAATGAAAGTTTATAGAGAACTTGGATTTCCATTCATTCATTGTTGCACATTTTCCTCCCTGCCCACCCCTCCTCCCAAGTTTGCTTTTTTCTTTGGAAAATAAAAATAATTCTTTGATTTTATTACATAATACATACCCCCAAATCCATTTTACTATGCAGATCTTATTCTGGACTCTTGTCATGCAAATAACACCTAATTATATATTCATTTTAAACAGTTCTTTCCTTCATCTGTTTCAATGCAATGTACATTATTTATCCCCTCTTTTCTTAGTTTCCCCCAACCCCAATATCAGTCCTGTTTTATAAAAGAGGCATTATGCAGTATTTGTCCTTTTGTGACTGAGCTATTTCACACTGTATCATGTCCTCCAGGGAAAATGAAATAATTCTTGAGTTTCCTTGAACTTAATTAGAATGAAATGATTAATCATAAATAAGGATGCTGCAGTGTTAAAGAGAAAATGATTGAAAGTTTCAGTAAATTGATATACACCTTAAATAGTCTTCACTCAAATATTTAAAATGCTGTTCATTCTCTTTGAATCATGTATGACTTATAGCAACCTTAGGTACAATAAATCTACATCTTGTCTTTTTCCTAAGCTATCTTCACAGTCTCTGTTATACTCCATCTCTTGTTTCAGTCTCTGTGTCAGTCCATTTGCTGAGATTTTCTCTTTGGGTTACCCTTTACTTTTCCAATTGTGGCATCTTTTTCCAAACACTGGTGTTTCTTGACATATCCAGAGTATAAATATTTTAATAATATTCATTCTCAAATATTCTCTGCATAGGTAATTGCATTCATTTAAATATATTTCTTAAAGATTCATTTTAATTCTTTTAAATAATATCTTTATTCTAATTAGATACGTATAAATATCATGTTCTCTACAACTAATATGCTCTCATATAATTTATTCCCTGATTTATTCATTTGTATCATTCTTTATGGAAAATGTAACAACATGGCATTGAACACAGCTGCTTTGAGATTAAGTCCATGGATGGCTAGAAAGCATTTTTTTGTTTCTATATTTTTCAATGGCACATATTAAAAATAAAACAAAATAAATGCTCAAATAAGAGTTACTACTCGCGTGCAGATACTCACTTGACATGGCGAATATCTGGCAAGGACCTCTCTAGAGCAATATTGTTGCTGACAAAAATATTAAATCCATTCTCCCTGTAAGCTGAATCATCATGGTCCTCTTCAGTCAGGGGGTATGGTTTCCCATGTTCACCTTTCCCTAGCAGGTGGAAACAAAATAAAATTAATATTTCTGTTAAGACCATTTCAGATCACACATTAATACTCAGTTTCTAGGCACAAAGCTTAAAACTTCAAGTCAACTCTGAGGCAGCTGAGAAGAAAGGCATGAATATTTATGTACAAATATCATCAGTGATTGAAATCTTCATGAATTGTCACTTTCATGGCAGTTGTCATCTTGAAGAGGTCACCATGAATTGGAACTGGTCTATGGTAACAATGTAACCATGTGACTTTTCCTTTTTCTAACAGCAGTAAGAAGATGACAGTGTATTTCTTGAGACACCTGATGTTATGGCATACAAAAGGCGCTACTGGCATGGGGCATTTTGAGTCTGATGACCATATGATATATTACTCCGGAGATAAAAAGACAAGGAAAAATGGGGTTGCCTTTATAGTAAAAAAAGTAATTTCTAGATCCATCTTGAAGTACAACATTGTGAGTGACAGGATTATATCCATAC